TTGCTCATTTCTGAGAATTTTTCTGAAGAGTTAAACTCTTAATTCCTAAAAAAAAAACTTTCTATAGACCTATACATATTCTCAGTTTCTGTGAAATATCTTAAAAAAATCATTCAGTTTCAGGGCAATTTTCTAGTTCTCAGTTTCTGAGATATTATATAAAGAAGAAAATCTCTCAGATTATAATTATAAGAATTTTAAATTAAGAAATTATTATTATTATTCCCATTTTCTAGATATACATGATAAACGATTCTCTGTTTAATTTGTTTGATTAACCACTTGCAGATTAGCAAAATTTAAACTAATCAATCAACAGTAATTTTGTGCTGAAGTATATACATTAGCAGACTGGCATTAAGAAATCGAAATTAATTTAATTTATACTCGTAAATAGGGCAAAAGATAATCTTTAATTTTAAATTTACTTCTTTGAAATGACAATAAGGCTTATAAGAATTGACAAACTTTATTTACTTTGATATAAAAGAAAATCAAACAAAATAGAAAAAATAAAAAAAGCCGCAAAAGAAAAATCTACTCTAAACAAAAGACTCTGACGAATACCAAAATACAAACTTATACACTGAATGCAACAGATATAAAAAACTTAAGAAGTAAAAAACAAAGAAACAAGAGTTCTATAAAGACGCCCAAGTCATGGATGTATAAAAGAAAATTAAAAATACAAGAAAACTTTAGCAAATGTGGTATAGAGAAAATTAGAAATACATAATAATAATAAACAAGAGAAATACTAGACATCTTCGCATATAAGACACATCAAATGAATAAGTTTACGCCAAATCTCTTGAGCGATGCCTGCAGGGTGGCAAATATAGAAGACAGTAAGAGTTTGACATGAACATTGAACCAAAAACAACAAAAGGCAACCTTTTTTGTAATACATAGAGTAAGTATTTCTAACAAATATTATTCTATCCTTGACACACTGAAATGTCTGAGAAACTTCCTTTAAAGAATGTCTTTCAGTTCCTTAGAAACTTTCTGTAAAGAAAAACTTTCAGTTTTTGGGAAATTTTCTACAAAGAAATCATCTCAGTCTTTGAGAAATTTTCTACAGAGAAATCCTTTTAGTTTTCTAGAAATGTTCTATAGAGAAATATCTCAGTTTCTGAAAAATTTCCTATAGAGAAAACCTCTCAATTTCTGACAAGTGCTGAATACAAAGGAATGAATAAGAATACTACAAGATAACTTAAGACACTCCAAGAAAAAAATAAAAAAAGCAAAAAAAAAAGGAAAATGAAGAAATAATAAAAAAACATAAAAATAAACGCAAGTTTAAATAAATAAAAATTAAATGCAAGAAAAGAAAAAAAAACTAAATAAATGTTGCTGTTGATGATGTTGAAGTATGAGTAACAAAACTGAACACCCTCAACAGCAACAAGTAAAAGACATAAAAAGAATTTGTTACCAGCAAAACATGGGCAGAGAGCGAGCAATGGCAAAAAAAAAACGCGTAATCATGATTAATTGCAGGATAAATGACTCTACACCACTCACCCGAAAGGACATAAACTAAGAGACTAAAAGACTACTGCACGCACGCTAGTCCTGTCTATACATTAAAGAAAAGCCGGCTAAAAGTAAAAAAAAAAAAATAACAACAAAAACAAAGTATTCGACGAGATGAACTAAATGCAGCTTTTAAATTATTTACTTGTAAACCACTTGTATGTCTGTTGGACTTCTTTTTTTTATACCCACCATCAAAAAAGATGGGGGGTATATTGATTTTGTCATTCCGTTTGTAACACATCGAAATATTGGTCATAGACCCACAAAAGTATATATATTCTGGGTCCTCATTAAATTCTAAGTCGATCTAGCCATGTCTGTCCGTCTGTCCGTCTGTCCGTCCGTCCGTCTGTCTGTCTGTCTGTCTGTTGAAAGCACGATAGAGTCCCAATGGAAAGAGCTAGAGGGTTGAAATTTTACATAAATATTTCTAACAGGTTAGGTTTGTTTGGTATTGAAAATGGGCAATATCGGTCCACATTTTCTGATAGCCCCCATACAAGTGGCCCCTCGAAAAGCAGCTTTAACAGCCATAACTTGTTTAAAAATACGAATATAGCGATAAAATTCGGCATATGGAAGTTTCTTATGATCCAAAATCATTATGCAAAATTTTATGAGGATCGGTTCATAATTGACCCTACCCCCCATATAAGGTCCCCTTCAGAAAATGACTTTAACGCTCATTACTGGCTTAAAAATACTAGTATATAGATGAAATTCGACATAAGTAAGTTTCATACGAGTCAAAATCTATCTAAAAAATTTTATGAGGATCGGCCCATGATTGACTCTACCCCCCATAGAAACCTCCCCTTTAGAAAATGACTGCAACGCTCATTAATGGCTTAAAAATACGAGTGTAGCGATGAAATTCGACACAAATAAATTTAATACGAACCAAATTCTGTCTACCAAATTATATTAGGATCGACCCATAATTGACCCTACCCCCTATATAAGGTCCCCTTCAGAAAATTACTTTAACGCTTATAACTGGCCTAAAAAATACGAGTATATAGATGAAGTTCGACATAAGTAAGTTTCATTCTAGTCAAACGAGGTTTGATGGTGGGTATATAAGATTCGGCATTGCCGAATATAACACTCTTACTTGTTTTTTTTGTCTTTGTGCGTCCTTCCAATCACTCATTTATTCATTAAGGGAATGACTAACTCTTTTTTGTCGTTTCTCGTTTTTTGACCATGAACATGCAAGAGGTAGATATTAATGGTTTTTAGTTTTTTTCTTTAAAGTAATTAAAAAATTGAAGATTTTCATTTTGGGGAGGAAGTATGAGGGATTTCTAACTGGTGCAATGCAAAAAATTAAAATTACTAAATTTTCGTTCAGGCTTCGATTTTATAATAAAGAAAATATCTTAAATTCTTGAGAAATCTAAGAAATTTTCTACACAGAAAACCTGACAATTTCTGAGAAACTTTATATACAGAAAACCTCTCAGTTTCTGAGAAATCTTCTATACAAAAAACCTTTCTGTTTCTGAGAAATTTTCTACACAGAAAACCTCTTAATTATTGAGAAATTTTCTATACAAAAAACCTCCCAGTTTTAGAGAAATTTTTTATAGAGAAAATCTCTCATTTTCTGAGAAATTTTCTATAGAGAAAATCTCTCATTTTCTGAGAAAATTTCTATAGAGAAAATCTCTCATTTTCTGAGAAATTTTCTATAGAGAAAATGTCGCAGTTTTTGACAAATTTTCTATAGGGAAAATCTCTCAGTTTCTGAGAAATTTTCTATAGAGAAAATCTCTCATTTTCTGAGAAAACCTCTCAGTTTCTGAAAATTTTCTGTACAGAAAATATTCTATACAAAAAATCTTTCAGTTTCTGAAAAATTTTCTATACAGAAATCCTCTCAATTTCTGATAAATTTTCTATACCGAAAACCTCTCAGTTTCTGAGAAATTTTCTATAGAGAAAATAACTTAGTTTCTAAAAAATGTTCTATAGAGGAAATCTGTTAGTTTCAGAAAAATTTTCTATAGAGAAAATCTCTCAGTTTCAGAGAAATTTTCTATAGAGAAAATTTTTTATTTTGAGAGAAATTTTCTATAGAGAAAATCTCTCAGTTTCGGACAAATTTTTTGTAGACAAAATCTGTCAGTTTGCGAGAAATTTTCTAAGAGAAAATTTCTCAGTTTGTGAGAAATTTTCTATAGGGAAAATCTCTCAGTTTGTGAGAAACTTTCTATAGAGAAATTTTCTCAGCTTATGAGAAATTTTCTATAGAGAAGATCTCTCAGTTTGTGAGAAATTTTCTATAGAGAAATTCTCTCAGTTTATGAGAGATTTCTATAGATATAACCTCTCAGTTTCTGATAAATTTTCTATAGAGAAAATCTCTTAGCTTGTGAGACATTTTCTATAGAGAAAATCTTTCAGTTTGTGAGACAACTTCTATATAGAAAATCTCGCAGTTTGTGAGACATTTTTTTGTAGACAAAATCTTTCAGTTTTCGAGAAATTTTCTGAGAGAAAATTTCTCAGTTTGTGAGAAATTTTCTATAGAGAAATTTTCTCAGTTTCTGATAAATTTTCTATAGGGAAAATCTCTTAGTTTCTGAGAAATTTTGTATAGAAAAAATCTCTCAGTTTCTGAGAAATCTTCTATAGAGAAAATCTCTCAGTTTCTGAGATTTTGAAAGTCTTTCGACAGAGAAAAATTTTTCGTTGCAAAGAATATTAAAAAATTATCTTAGAAAATTAGCTTTAATCCCTAAAATTCAAATCCCTTTAAGGAAAATATTCCTTTGTGAAACCAATGTCCTTCTTGATTAACAAAAATTAAATTTTGGCATCAGTTGTTGTTATATTTCTGCTAAAGACAAAAAACCGGACACAAAAAAAAAAATCAAAAAAAATAAATAGGAAAAACAACTCTTGACTGTTGGGCACTTTATTGTTTTTGAAAAGTTGTTGTTTTATAAACTTAGACAAGTGAAAAAAATGGATTATGGCACTAGACGCTATTAAGGACGAAAATAAGGAAAAAGGAAAAAGTCATATAATAAAACAAAGAAATAAAAATTTCACTGGTAATGAATCAAAACAATTTTCATATTTTTCCTAATTAATCTTCTTTCTTATACAGGAATGAAGGGAGTGACTGCAAACAAGAAAGGAAGGAAAAAATTATGATTTTTGTAAAGAAAAATATGCGTATTTTTCTTAGAAGTTTTTTTTCTCTTGCTGCGTTTTCCGCTCATTCTTTTATAATGTTGTAATTTTTTTTTTTTTTTGTATTTTTTCAACCAGGGTGTCAAATCTTAAGAAATAAATGCTCTTATAAGTGTAATAAGCACAAAATGACGTTGGAATGTGTAGAACGGAATGCAGAAAGTGAGTTAGGTGGGGTTAAAGGAACTAAATTAGTTAAAGAACGAAAAAAGAAATACAAATAAATAAAACTTAAAGTAAGAGCAACTTACCTTTTTAAGCTGAAGGAACCGATGAGTGAGTGTATGAATGAATTATGGTGGATGATTTTAAACCAAAACCTGAAAGTAAACAATGTGAACATATAGAAAATTTATCTTGAATGGAAAGTATTCTTTAAAGAATTTTTTATAAATTAAACTTTTTCTATGTAGAAAATTTCTTTTGAAATGAGACATTTTCTTTATGGAAAATATCTTCTATAAAGAAAATGTTTCCTTTTTATTCCAGCGGTCACGTTTCTAGCTATTGTTGTTTTAAGCTCTTCATTTCCTCTTAACTTAAACAATTTGTGTCTATGAAGGGCAGATGTAGTTGTGGGTAGATGTAGTTGCTTACGTATTTTCTCCTCATGTCCTTCAAAAATACATATTTTATTCATTTAGTCTTGCAAAAGGAAATGAGACGCTGTAGTAATGAAGATAACATTTCCTGTTGTCAGCAGTTGTAAAGTTATGAGAATATAAAAGAACAAGACGAAAGAAATACTTAATGAAAATAAAAAATAAGAACAATGATGAAAACTTTTATTTTGTGTTTAGTTGAAGAAAAGTGTGTTTTAAAAAGAAAACAATCAACTGATTAAAAACGAATTTGAAGTAAAAATTATTTGCTTTAAACACTTTAAATACGTTTTATTGTTTTAGAATTATTGCTAAAAAATTCAAACATTTTTCTTTTGCCTTGTTTGATGTTGGTCCCCTTATATGGGGGCTAGGGTCAATTATGGACCCATCCACATAAAATTTCGTAGAGAGGTTTTGGCTCGTCAGAAACTTACTTATGTAATTTCATTGCTATTCTCGTATTTTTAATCCAGTAATGGGCATTATAAAACTTTTTTTAAAGGGGACCTTATATGGGGAGTAGGGTCAATTATGGACCGATCCTCATACAATTTGTTAGGGAGATTTCTGGAACTTAATTATATTAAATTTCACTGTTATACTCGAACTTTTAAAACAGTAATGCCCGTTAAAGCTGTTTTTCAGGTATCCACTTGTATGGGGGCTATCCGAAAATGTGGACCGATATCGCCCATTTTCAATAACAAACAAACCAAACAATATTTGTGGAAAATTTTAACACTCCATCTCGTTCCGTTCGGATTCTATCGTGTTTTCAACAGAAAGACAGACGGACAGAAGGACGGACATGGCTAGATCGTCTTAGAATTTAATAAGGACCCAGAATATATATATACTTTTGTGGGTCTATGACCAATATTTCGATGTGTTACAAACGGAATGATAAATTTTTTTAAACATTTTCAGATTTCAACTCTCCAACTCATTCCGTTCGGACTCTATCGTGTTTTCAACAGACAGACAGCCGGACAGACGGACAGACGGACGGACATAGCTAGATCGTCTTAGAATTTAATAAGAGCCCAGAATATGTATACTTTTGTGAGTCTATGACCAATATTACGACGTGTTACAAACGGAATGACATTTTTCAAAAATTTACAGATTTTCAACAGACAGACAGACGGACGGACATGGCTAGATCGTCTTAGAATTTAATAAGGACCCAGAATATATATACTTTTGTGGATCTATGACCAATATTTCAATGTGTTACAAAGGGAATGACAAATTTTTTCAAACATTTTCAGATTTTCTCTATAGAAAATTTCCCATAACTAGAAATTTTTTCTATAGAAAATTTCTGAAACATTGAGCTTTTCATTATGGAAAATTTCTCAAAATCTGAGAAATACTCAATAGACAATGGTGATTGCATTTTCTTCATAGAATCTTTTCAAAAATTGAGAGAATTTCTCTGCAGAAAATTTTAAGAAAATGAAGGCTATATAGAAAGTTTCTCAGAAACTGGGAGACTTTTACAAGAAATTTTCTCAGAAACAAATAGATTTTCTTTATAGAAAATTTCTCAGAAACTGAGATAATTTCTCTATATGCATTTTTTCGGATACTTAAAGATTTCTCTATAGAAAATTTGTCAAAAAATAAGAGATTTACTCTATAGATAATTTCTCAGAAACTGAAACATTTTTTCAATAAAAAATTTCTAAGAAACTGAGATATTTTCTCTATAGAAAATTTCTCAGCAACAGAGAGATATTTTCTCTATCGAAAATTTTTCGAAAACTGAAAGATTTTCTTCATAAAAAGCTTCTCAAAAACTTAGTTTTTTGTCTATAGAAAATTTCTTAGAATCTAGAAGAATATCTTCATAGAAAATTTCCAAGAAATTCAGTAATGAAAAATTCTTATAAATGGTGAGATAAAAGATATTTGCAATGTAGAAAATTTCTTAGAAACTAAATGATTATCTCTATTGAAAATTTATCAAAACTGTGATATTTTCTTTATAAAAAGAAACTGAAAGATTTTCTCTTCAGAAAATTTCTCAGAAATTTTCTCCATAGAAAAATTTACAGAAGAAAAGGAATATTCTTGAATGAAATTGAGAAATTTAGAAAATCTGTTTTAATTTTACTGAAATGTCAAAAACATATAGCCAGAGACACCAATATAATTGTCAAACATCGAATTCATTTAAAATCATTATTGAAATTATCTTAAAATCCTTTTTGGAATAATAGTATTTTTTTTTTTTTTTTTTCTTATTAAAATATTTGCTAGAAACCAAGTCAAGCAAATGAGGTTAAATATGCAAAACAGCGACAACAACTGACAATATTCAATTTTTTTTTTTTTCAAACAGAAACCACAATATGAAAAAAATACGTGAAAAAATAAATTCAAATTGCCGACATAAAGCCCCAGCAAACAGACTAGCAACCCTTTCTGGTAGAGCTAAAGCAACAGCAAGAAAAAAGTAACAGCAAATGAATGTACAAATAAAAAAAAAACGGAATGGCTGGTATGATGGTTTGTAATTTACAAAGTCAAGTGACAGCTTAAAAATTGCAAATTTTTGTCACTTTTCTTACTCACTACACAACATTAGCGTTCAGTAATAATATTTCTTTTTCCTGTTCATCATACTTGTTGCCTTATTCATCTTCTGGTTTGTTCCCATTTTCCCAACACAAAACGGATGATGAATATAAAAACCGCTTTGATCATTTATTATGATGGTAGAAAATGTTAAAAAGTGGTAGGTAAGCAACAAAAAGACGGCCCAAAAAAAAGCTTGTTATAAAATAACATAAAAATGTAGTTACCCCAAAAAAAGTACAATACTTTTGGGTAAAAAAAAAAAAATGAAAAGGAAATTGTAGTATAACTTAAGGCACATAAAAATAACAATTGAAATAAATGAGCAGTGGGTAGTAAGAGAAAAAAAATTGTAACAATAACAATACCACTACTACTTTTACAACTGCAACAACAACAAAATCATTCATAATGAAGAATCCTACATACAAACTTGTATATTTAACGAAATGTGATTGTATATTTTTGTAAGTCACTTGTTAAGGTTTTTTGCCAACCTCTCTTTCAACACTTGTTAGATTTTATGATTGTGTTGTTTTTGTAAGAAAAAACAAATCCTGTTGCCCAAAAAATATAAAACTTTATGAAGCCTGTATAATTTTCACTTTTTTTGTAAAATTGTTATTGAATTTTTTTGTCAGTTTCTTTTTATTATACTTGGTGTCTTTCGTTGGTTTTTGTGAGAAAATTGAAACTTAATTGTTTGTCAGACCACAGTATATAGTGTTAAGTGGTCCTTTATTATTATCTCTTTATTTTCATCAAGATCTAAAGTATTATATGAAATACCGGGTCACAATATATTTTTATTTGATAGAGAAACACACAGAACTGAACTAGAAGAGAATAAGAACAGAACTAGAACAGAACTAGAATAGAACTAGAACAGAACTAGAACAGAACTAGAACTGAACTAGAACTGAACTAGAACTGAACTAGAACTGAACTAGAACTGAACTAGAACTGAACTAGAACTGAACTAGAACTGAACTAGAACTGAACTAGAACTGAACTAGAACTGAACTAGAACTGAACTAGAACTGAACTAGAACTGAACTAGAACTGAACTAGAACTGAGCTAGAACTGAACCAGAACTGAACTAGAACTGAACTAGAACTGAACTAGAACTGAACTTGAACTGAACTAGAACTGAACTAGAACTGAACTAGAACTGAACTAGAACTGAACTAGAACTGAACTAGAACTGAACTAGAACTGAACTAGAACTGAACTAGAACTGAACTAGAACTGAACTAGATCTGAACTAGAACTGAACTAGAACTGAACTAGAACTGAACTAGAACTGAACTAGAACTGAACTAGAACTAAACTAGAACTGAACTAGAACTGAACTAGAACTGAACTAGAACTGAACTAGAGCTGAACTAGAACTGAACTGGAACTGAACTGGAACTGAACTAGAACTGAACTGGAACTGAACTGGAACTGAACTAGAACTGAACTAGAACTGAACTAGAACTGAACTAGAACTGAACTAGAACTGAACTAGAACTGAACTAGAACTGAACTAGAACTGAACTAGAACTGAACTAGAACTGAACTAGAACTGAACTAGAACTGAACTAGAACTAGAACTGAACTAGAACTGAACTAGAACTGAACTAGAACTGAACTAGAACTGAACTAGAACTGAACTAGAACTGAACTAGAACTGAACTAGAACTGAACTAGAACTGAACTAGAACTGAACTAGAACTGAACTAGAACTGAACTAGAACTGAACTAGAACTGAACTAGAACTGAACTAGAACTGAACTAGAACTGAACTAGAACTGAACTAGAACTGAACTAGAACTGAACTAGAACTGAACTAGAACTGAACTAGAACTGAACTAGAACTGAACTAGAACTGAACTAGAACTGAACTAGAACTGAACTAGAACTGAACTAGAACTGAACTAGAACTGAACTAGAACTGAACTAGAACTGAACTAGAACTGAACTAGAACTGAACTAGAACTGAACTAGAACTGAACTAGAACTGAACTAGAACTGAACTAGAACTGAACTAGAACTGAACTAGAACTGAACTAGAACTGAACTAGAACTGAACTAGAACTGAACTAGAACTGAACTAGAACTGAACTAGAACTGAACTAGAACTGAACTA